CAGGCAGAGCCATAGTCCTGGCGGTTTAAGGAATTAGACAGCTGTATCTATAAGGTCAGAACTCAGGAGCCTAGAACCCGCAAGTGACATTGAACCCTGCCAGTCCATGCTGCGACTCACTTCAATGCAGAAAGGAGTCCTCACCCCCCTCACTAGGGCACAGGGCACAGCAGGCCCTCACACAGGGGAAGGGAGGAGGCTCAGGACACAGAAGCATCCAGAGAAGGGACAGTTGTCCAGGGCTGTGGTCCTTTGACTTAAGCGTGGATCACAGGCTCTCAGCAGCTCTGAGCGGACCACGTCTCTGCTCTCCGGGTCAGTTTTCTGTAACTCCAAGACTGGACTCCATGCTCCTCTGCGCTCTGACAGGACCCCTGCCCAGAAGCAACACCCAGGGCCGAAAAAAGGAGCTCTCCTCGGAGGGGAACAGGGCAGCTGGGCCAGCGGGCTCTCAAGTCCTCTACAGACGTGGCCTCACCCTCCCTCCTGGCAGGGCCCGTGGACTGTGGAACCCACATGTGATGATGACACACTGTACAAACTATCCAGTGCGCTGCAAACGAGAAGCATGTACCGGGGAAGGGACCGAGCAACGTTCATCTTGCTGCGTCCTCAATAAACCGCCCATTTCTGCTCAAGTTAAGAAGATGAAAAAGGGGTTAAGCATTTGTCTTCCATATTCTCCGTCTAAGGCATTTGTATTAAACTGGCTGATTCTAAAACAAAGAAGGTGTGAACGTAAGCGTGTGTGAGTGTTTGAATGTAATGTATATAAGCAGAGGTATTTTTTACAATATGGATGTGGTCTAATTACAGAAAATGCCGCTCTTTCCAGTAGCGATGGGTCTCTATCAAATGCTGCTTTTTGCATGATTTTTCCCGGAGGAGATGTCCATGGAAAGGAGACGCAAGTAAATCTAAGTCTACAGATGCAGGTAGGTGTTTATAAATTTCACTCTCACTAGAAAACATAGCAGTGATGCATCTGAAAACATAACTTGAAGGGCTATTAGGGAACAGGAGACAATATGGAAGAGGCAGGGCCCTTGGGAATTAACTGGGTGTGCAAGACAAGGCTGGGCAGCAATAAATTACAGGGCGGGGAATGGGAATTTAAAGTCCAGGTAGCTACTGATTAGGACGAGCAGAACACGTATTTCTCCAACTGTAAAGAAATCAGTTATTTTCTACGTGAGATGTTTAACGCTGCCTTCCCCGTCACAGCAGACAGCTCGCCACCAGCACACTCCAGACCGCTGTCACAGGCAAGTGTCACTCGCGAAGGGCTGAACGCACATACCTGCCTCCGACCCCATTCACCACCCCAGCCTACCCTGCTGTCCCGGGTCCGAGATGCCAGCGGAAAGCAGAAGTCCTGCAGCAGCCTGCAGGGGCGTCCAGCCTCTTGTCCCTCTGTCCTTTGGTCTCCCCCAGTCCACTCAGAATTCGCCCCAGTCCCACCCGTTAATTCCACCCTGGGGGGCCTGTTTCCCATCCATCCTCCTGTCTCCCAAGTCTTGCCAAGTTATCCCCCAGAGTGTGTGGCACTCCCATTTATGAGTTTCCAAATTAGCCTAATTACAGCCAGTGGGTCACGTGCATCCAGAAGAGGCTCTGATGTTAAATTAACCAGCCTCCTCTCCCAGCCGCGGCCTTCCTTTCGTCGTTATTACACCCGCTGTTCTTAAAGTTCACAAAGACAAATAATACACTTCGATCGGACTGCTTTCCCTGTCACTACCGTTCTCACAGTGTGGTTCGGGGCTACTCTTCCGTGCAGATATGTAGTACGTTAATAACGTTAGGGGCTATATGACTTCGGTGGACTGGCCTGGAAACCTAACCACGAGCTGTCACGTTATTTCTGTAGGAACATGTACTCTAAATACATTTCATGAATTATAACCAGACTGTAAGCTCAGCACAACACTAAAAAACAAAGCCAAAAACAAAATCCTGCACACAAAAAAACAAACATAAAGTCATTAAAGGAGCCTCTCCAAGGTTAGTCTGCTCCCTACTGCTTACACAGTAAACATTTAATGTACAGATAGAGCAAACCATGGGAACGCATCAAAGTCAATTCCAGATGGCATCTCTCTGCGGTCACCAGGCACCTGGTTCAACTCTAATGTTATCCTTAGCCCGGCACGGTGGTGCAGAGATGAATCAGACTTCCCTCCAAGTGCTAATAGTGTATTCCAGTGCCAAACACTCAAATATCTTTTAATTATCCATATCACAATTCCATTAAGGCAAACAGCTGAGAACTGACTACATTATAACAAAGCAGTTTTACATTTTGAAAAAATGCAAACATCTCCCTTTTACAGAGAACTAATGAAGTTGCCCCAGGAAGGAAGGGAGGGAGGGAGGGAGAAAAGGAGGGAGAGAGAAAGCTAGAGAGAGAGAGAGAGGCTATCTAGGTACCAAGTACTTATTGTAGCTCCCACCATTACGTATAATTTGTACTCTCTCTTAGCAAGCAATTTAAGACATTTCACTAAATGTATTAAGGAAACAACGTGACTAAAATGGGAATCCATTTTCTTCACTCAAACCAGCTCTTGTAAAGGTCGGAGGTGTCATCATCCACCCATCCCCTCCCACCCCATCAGTAGGTGGCCAAAATCCATGTGGTTCCTTCACCCTCCCTCCCTGCCTCCAAGCCTCATTTAGCATCTAGGCCACCCCATCTCGCTGGTAGTCTCCACAAGAGCCTGCCTCTGGTCTCACCTCCCTCAAATTCATTAGCCACACTGAAACCAAAATTATCTTTCAAATATGTGAATCAGACCACACCCCTTCTAAGAAACCTTCAAAGTTCTCCAGGGCTCTGGGATCCAGACTGAACTCCTTGTCCTGACTGACGCTGGACCTTCCTGGTCATACTCCTCACCCCCATCCCCCTCTCTCCCCTGCTCTCTGCTGGTCTTGTTCCCTGTTCCAATCAAACTGAGCACCTTGCCCTGGTCAGTGATGGAATGTTGCCAGTTAGACCCCAGGTCAAGGGCATGTACTTGAGTTGCAGGTTGACCCTGGCCTCAGGGTCATGCAGGAGGCAGCCAATCAATGTGTCTCTCTCATATCAATGTTTCTCTCTCTCTCTCTCTCTCTCTCTCTCTCGCTCTCGCTCTCCCCCCCCCCACCCTCTCTTGTACTCTCTCTAATAAAAAAAAAAAAAATCAATGGAAAAAATATCCTCAGGTGATAGTTAACAAAAACAAACAAACAAAACTAAGCAGTTCTACCCTCACCTGAAACTCTCTTGCTTTCCAGGATAGGGACACACCATCCTCTTTAGGTCTCAGGTCTCAGCCTGAACAGAAAGCTTCCCTGACCTTTAGGATGGCGGATTAAAGGCTCCTTTCGTAAGAGGAACCTTAAATCCTCTGTTGAGATAAATCCTCTGAACACCCTGTTCTTCCTCTATCTCAGACCTGATCACACAATTTGGTAAGAGCCTGCCCGGCTGGTTGCCTTCTAGATAAATCTCTGGGCAAGCAAGGACTGAATCAGTCTTTTCTTCTTCTGTCTTAAGTGACCACGTAGGATATAGTAGGTGTCCAAGGAACATGTGCTGATTGAGCTCATGCATGAAGACACCCTTGCCCTCTGTGTTCCGGAGTCCTCACTATTTAATAGTGAAAACACTCCAAATCAGCATATTAGCACCTGGAAAGTGAGTCATAACTTTCATCTCATTAAGCGGCCCCTGCCTCCCGTACATTGTCTGGAACACCTTGGTGTGTTACTGCCATGACCGTCAACAAAACCAAGGAAGGCTTGGTACCATTTGTACATCTAGATTAGAAAAGGGGCCAACAGTATGTGTAGCCACCCTCTTCCAAACCTGTGTCAAACAACAGCCTATAATTAAAATAAAATTTCACTCATCGTTTCAAAAAATATGTTATCTATATCCAAGTAATTAAATTAAAAGAAAATATCACTAGTGAATGAATCCAGCCTTCAATGTCTTTTCCACAAAGTGTGAAAACAACAACAAAACAGCAGCAATAATATTGTTGACACACACGCTGTAATATCCAAGCGTTCCCAGGATCTGTCCTCCAGCATGCTTCAGCTCGCCCCCTGACCCAACTGGTTCTAATTTAAGAAATCTCCTTAATTCAAAGCACTGAATCAATACAAAGCAAGAAACGTCAGCTAGCTGAGAATGTGTAAAATATAAACAGGTGTGGCAGCATACCAGGTTCCCAGTCTTATGCAACACCACCTTACATATGTGTAGCACTTCACACTGTCAAAGCACTTTCGTGTCTAGTCTCTGTCTGGTCTCCACCTCCAAAAACAGGTAAGTAAGCCCTTTGTCCCATTTGACAGTTGGAAAAGCTGCATCTCAATGAGGTCAGGTTCTTTGCTCAAGGTCAGAGGGCCAGGGGGTACAGGGATGGAGGTCAAATCCTTGGGTCCTGACTGTCAGAGGGGGTGCTCTTTCTGTCGACCATGCTGGGGTCAGTTTGCACTGCTGCGGGAAGTAGCAGAGGAGGGGCCACGGAACTCGGTCACCTCTGAATGAGCAGGCACCCTTTCCTCTCCCCTCTGCTCTCGCCCCTTTCCTCTAAGGCGGTGTGTGCACAGCAAGAAGATCAGGTCAGATGGAGGAAACGGGGTCAGGGTGGCAGGAAAGAGAGAGCCTTTTCTCTTCCATTTCCCTAAATGTCACTAGCTCCACATGTCCCAAGAACACAGCCAACACCAAATCTCCTATGAGACTCTAAGCATGAGCCCAGTTGGAAAAGCCAGGCTGCTCCAGAGAGGCTGAACGCCCGGGCACAGCTATTCGATTCATTTTAACCTGGAGGAGCTGACACCCCACTGTGCGTGCCACATGCCTAGAGCAGGCCCAGGCACCTGGGAAGGTCAGGAAATGTTTTCTTCTCCCCCACATGTTCACTGGGAAGTTGTGAGAAGGAAACTTCTTGAGCATCACTGAAACTCCTCCCCCCCCCTCTCTCATACACACACACACATACCATTTTCTCTGCCTCGACACCTGCAAGGAAGGCATCTTCCCAGACATATGCAAGTAGAACCAACACGATCCTTTTCCTCCCTGAGTTTAAGCCTGATCCCACTTGGAGTAGGTATTTGGTCCAAAACATGCTGAAACATATCAAAAAGAATGAGTCCTGAAATAGTATTTTTAAAGTATTACATCATAAAAATCTGAATTGATCTCTCAGTATTAAAAAAATGCCTCAGTAAGAGAAATCATTTGAAGGAATGTGGCACCACGTGGCTCTGAGAGAACTAGAATGTGGATTCCGGGTGGCAGACGTTACTGGGCGTTAACCTAGTGCCCGCTGTGGACCAGGGACATGGGCTCATCCCAACACAGCGCCTGCAGGGTAACGTGGAACAACTTTCTACAGAAGGTGGTGCCACATAGCAGAGGCCCTGGAACTGTGCACAGATCCAACAATGTTTCCAGTATTGATCCAAAGAAGGACTCAGCTGTGTGCAAAGACATGTGTACAAAATGTTTCAGAGCATTATTTAAAATAGAGTGAAAGAGAAACCACTGAACATCTAACCACAGAGGATCAGTTAAATAAATTAAGGTATATTCATGGGAGAGAACGCCATTCATCATCACATTTTTAGATGAATACATAAAATCAAGGGAAACTGCATATGTTATCAAATGGAAAGGTTACAATTTGGTTTCAAAATATATGCCAAAGAAACAGATGAGAAGACAGGCACTAAAACAGATACAGACTTATCTTTAGGTGGTGGGCTTGCACATGATTCTTATTTTCTTCTAAATACTTTGATGTATTTTCCTTCTTTACAATGAAAACAAATTATATCTATTACTAGAATAAAACTGATAATTTGTTTTAGAAAAGAGAGCTCCTCTTCAAAAGCCATAGGCAGCCCTGGCCAGTTTGGCTCAGCAGTTAGAGCATTGGCCCGCGGACCAGAGAGTCCCGAGTTTGGTTCCCACTAAGGGCTCGTACCTCGGTTGCAGTTGGGGTCGTGTGGGTGGCAGCCACTCGATGTGTCTCTCACATTGATGTTTCTTTCTCTCTCTTCCTCCCTCTCTCCCTCCTGCTCTATCTGAAGATAAATGCAAAAAAAAACACAACAAAAAACAAAAACACACACAAAACCATATAAAAGCCATAGGCTTTTCCAGTAGCTTATGAGTTAATTAATTTAAAAATTTTTGATAAAATGTACACAATGAAAATGTATTATTTTAATATAGTTCAGTGGAATTAAGTACATTCACATTATTGTGCAACCATCACCACCATCCTTCCTCACAACCTTGTCATCCCAAACTGAAACTCTGTACCGGTTAAACAACAACTCCCCATTTTTTCCTTTCCCTAAACCCTTGTAACTACTATTCCACTTTCTGTCCCTATGAGTGTGACTATTCCAGGTACTGCACAGAAGTGGAAGCATACAATAGTTGTCCTCCTGTGTCTGGCTAATTTCCTTAGCATAATGTTCTCAAAGTTTATCTACGTTGTAGCATACATAATAATTTCATTCCTTTTTAGGGCTGAATAAATAGTTTTCCACTGTATGTATTTTTCACATTTTGTTTCATGATGTTAGTTTTCTATGCAGACTTTAATTTTTAAGCATGTCTGAACTTCAAAATGATCAGCAGTTCATGTAATTAAAGGACGTATATCGATAGACTGATTAAAAACCCCAAATAGAATGAAGTAAGGAAAGAAGTTATTTTACACAAGCTCAAACTCACCCCCTGCCTTAAATCCACTAAAATTCACAACATTGAGCCATATTTTGCAGCAGGAAAGAATAACAGTGTTACACAGTGTAATAACAATGAGTGGCCCCAAACTCATGAACAATTAAAGAGGCTTGCCACTCAGAGTAGTGGCTGCCTCTGGGGGAGGGCACCAGGGAACCTTCTGGCTGACGGAATGTTCTATACCTTGATTGCAACATTTGTCATTTGTCAAAACCAGTGGACCTGTGCTCATAAGATCTGCACATTTCACTGTATGTAAATTCTAACTTGATTTTTAAAGAGGAAAGAAAAATAAGCTCACCAGCCCCCTCCCCTGAAAGAAGGCATGTTAAGCCTAAAGGAAATCAGAGTAAATAAGAATGTTAGAAAAACCAACAGGTCCTGCAGTTTAGCTACTGATGCTCAATGTCACTGTCTGCTTCAGGGCCCTCCACTGGGTCTGCACTAGCCCTAGAACTAAGTCCAAGTTCCTTTCTCCTGGCCGAGGAGACACCGGTTTGTCTGGGAAGTCTGGTAACCACACACAGGGACGACCTGCAGACAGTGCCAGGAACCTGCCTGAGTTTGGTACACAGCCCAACAGGTGTGAGACCAGGTGGCGAAACCCTAAAGGTGTGTGGCCCCGCGTGGGAGTGGAAAGCAGGTACACCCTGACTGCATGTCCGTAAGAACCATAAGCATCCCAAAGGAAAACAAGGTCTCAGAGAGGCGAGGGAACCACGTCTGAGTGTGGTCTGGAGCCCAGAAGAGACACTATTCTCAGGCTGGATGCAAGGTGTATGTTTCTGTCTCCTGGTTGCTTTAGCATTGGACTTGGCCAGAACCTCGGAGAGGGGAAAGTTACCTCTTTCTTATTTATGTGGTTATTTGTTTCCCTCCTCTGGACAGTGTTTCTTTTCTAAAATGTCAAGTTCAGGCCCCACATTGTGGGAGGCCCCAGTGTCCTCATCATGGTGAATTTCCTGCCAGACCATTTAAAGCACTTAGACCGTCAGACAATTTTTTTTTCTTTTGTAATCTGCTATTTTAGATTCTCCACACTACTATGTCCCTCTATTAAAATGCATGGCCCAGTGGTGACAGACCTCAGGGTGTTATGGAGCAGCAGTCAAGAGCACACAAACTGCTTATTGGTCCAAAAGGCAACTTTAAAAACAAAACAGCCACACCGAAGCCAAATGGCGGATCAGAAAACGACAGTCAGGGACTCAAATACTGCCCTAGACTTAATGTTACATTTCTGTAAAATCGGAGCAGGGGTTCCGACAAGCTTATTGATGTGGACTCATTATCATTTAGTGACGACAATAACCTGGAATGAGCAGCTCACTGCATAGATACTGATAAAGACTACTGAGCCTGAAAGCTGCCCAACCCAGACTAGACCTCCTTGGGTCTCTCACAAAGCAGGCTACCCTGACTTCTCACAGGAAAATCACCCTCACAGCCAACTTCGGCCCCTGCTCCTTGGCTCACGTTGCTCTCCAGAAAACATCTCATTAACCTACTGGTAGACATTCTGCTCTTCAGCCGTTTAATTCCAACTAAATGCCCCAAGGAGCCTCAGTCCCACCTTTCTAGTCATCTTTGAGAGTTTTTGTGCAGCCCTACTGGTGTGGCTCAGTGGTTGAGCATTGACCCATGCACCAAGAGGTCACCGGTTCGATTCCCGGTCAGGGCACATGCCCAGGTTGTGGGCCAAATCCCCAATGAGGGGCATGCAAAAGGTGGCTGGTTGATGTTCTCTCTCATTGATATTTCTCTCTCTCTCTCCCTCTTCCTTCCTTTCTTTCTAAAATCAATAAAGGGAAAAAAAATTTTTAAAAAAGTTCTTGCGCAGAGATTCCCAGTTTCCTCCCAGCCGCGAGTCAGGGTCCCCACTGCCGGCCTCATCTCCATCCAGGTGGGATGATGGATTGCAGACAAACTGCAGGAACTGACAAGGGAGAGGATGTGCGTGGGGGCATGTGGGCTTGGAGGTTCCTGGGGCTGCCTCTCACCACCTTATGCTGGAGGGTAAGGAGCCATACACACAGCCCATCCTGCAGCCCTGAGGTTGGGAACAGAGGTGTTAACCCATGTTAATAAGAGGACTGATGATTCATACCAACAAACCCATCTTTTCAGAAAGGAATCCTCTAACAGGGCCAAAGGTGTCAGAATCATCAAAAGCCTTGCCAATCCAGTCATATCAAAATACCCTAAAAATTCTAAAACCAACTAGGACCTGTGAGCTAACAAACCAAAATATACTCCCCCAACGAGAAACAAAATTGATCCATTGGTCCCTAGGGACCCCCATGGCATTTCTGAACCAGATGTACAGGCAGTTTTTTGATAACTTTTATCCAGAAGAATAAATACCCTCCTTGCCCTGCCAAATAATGACGTTATTCCCCTTCCCCAGTTGGAGTCTGAAAGCACTTTCAGTCTGAAGAAGCAACCATACAGCAGAACCAGAAAGTTGTGATGCGTAGGTCTTCCAGTTGACGGAGACAACTGCTGTCTTTGTCATTTTAAGCTCGTTGGTTCTCAGCACTGACTGGTATTCGGTTGTTGGAGTAGCAGCTGAATGATTAAAACCCATGGAAATAGAAAAAACAACTAAGAAAATCTGGGTTTGTAAGGCTTGACAAGAAGTCTGCTAATTTACCTACCTTGTAACCTTCTTCGCCTTCTCAGATGGGTGCTATCCACTTGGAGGACAAGGGGAGAAGACCATTTACAGAGAAGGAAGCAGGGGCTACACCCTCCAGATGAGAGCTGTGTCGAAACAGCCGGCCATGACCACACTTACTGCTCCACGGCAATTACCGAGCACCTCGCCATATGTTATCAACTGCACTGTGCAATTAGACGTTTTGCTCCGTGAGGCTGATTGCAAAGGTGTTTCATGTATGCTTCCTTAACCAGATCCAAGCAACCGGAGGGCAGGGGCTGTGTCAAATATGCCAATACTTCCCTTGTGCCAAGGTCACGTCACTGACATTAACTCTAGAATCTCTCTAGAACAGAAAAAATCAGCGCGGGGTAGGAAAGCAAGAGTCACAAAGCATATATGTTTTTCCCTAAAGAGGGCTTCCACAGTTATTTACTCTTCATTTTTCATGGAACGCTAATGCATTTTCATTTCCCAGAGGAGATCCAAAGCAGAAAATTAAAAAGTAGTCAGCATGTATTAACAATTTTTATGACTTATTATTTTTATTGTATTGGTTGGTGCCAAACTCTCGGTTAAGTATTTTGAATATCACCTGCCAGTGGACATCCGCGATTGCTTGGCACAACATCGGACATTCACAGGCCACCAAGAAATGGTATATTACCTTTTGCGTATTATGTTTATTCAATAGGGTAGGGAAATGTG